CTGGGAACCGGTTTCTGGGAAGTGGTTTCTGGGAAGTGGTTTCTGGGGAGTGGTTTCTGGGAAGTGGTTTCTGGGGGGTGGTGTGGTTTTTGGGAGGTGGTTTCTGGGGACCGGTTTCTGGGGGGTGGTTTCTGGGAACCGGTTTCTGGGAACCGGTTTCTGGGAAGTGGTTTCTGGGGACTGGTTTCTGGGAAGTGATTTCTGGGGAGTGGCTTCTGGGGAGTGGCTTCTCGGGAGTGGTTTCTGGGAAGTGGCTCTTGCGAACTGGTTTCTGGAAGTGGTTTCTGGTAAGTAGTTTCTGGGGGCTGGTTTCTGGCGACTGGTTTCTGGGAAGTGGTTTCTGAGAAGTGTTTTTTGGGGAGTGGTGAAGGCCCAAGTCCAACCCAAAGACATCCTAAAGAAGCAAGGCCCTAAGCCAAACCAAAAGAAACCCTAAAGGAGGGAAGCCTTAAGTGAAGCCAAAGACATCCTAAAAGAGTGAAGCCCTAAGCCCTAAGCAAAACCAACCAGAGACCCTAAAGAAGTGAAGCCCTGAGTCAAACCCAAAGACATCCTAAAGCAGCAAAGCCCTAAGCCAAACCAACCAGAGACCCTAAAGAAGTGAAGCCCTAAGTCCCTCACAAGTGAAGACCTAGGTCCAACCCAAAGACATCCTAAAGAAGCAAGGCCCTAAGGCAAACCAAAAGAAACCCAACGGCTCACTTTTGGAGGAAGTCTGGTATGAAACGCTCGTTCTGGAGACTTGCGCGGCTCACTTTGGAGGAAGTCTCATACGAAACGCTCGTTCTGGAGACAAGCGCGGCTCACTTTTGGAGGAAGTCTCGTACGAAACGCTCATTTTCACTAGCAAATGATGCCTTCGAAGCACTACCGAAGGATGTGTGTTCCAAAATGATCCGCGAAACTGGTGTCAGACTGCAGTCCCGGAGAGTTTTCTTTTCCTCTGTGTTCCAAAATGATTCGTGTTCCAAAATGATCCGTTTCTGGGTTCCAAAATGATCAGGGTGCCCCAGTATTGCTATAGAAATGGGTCCGCCAATCGGTTGGAATCTGTGGTGACATGAAAAGAACGGCCCTGTGCTTTATGTATGCTCACCCATGAAGACCATGTGAAAACCCAAGAACAAGCGAGAGAGAGATAGAGAAGAAAGAAAGAAAGAAAGAAAGAAAGATCATACATACACTGACATACACAAACAGACCGAAGAAGGGGCCTGTAAAGTTCCGTTCAAAGGACTGAAAGTGTCGAGTGAATGTCGGCGTGTTGGTTCGAACATTTGTAGACTGAATAAGCTGTCCGTACTTGTCACTTGTCTTCCAGTCCTTATGTCCCAAAAGTTCAGTGTGCAGACTGCCCTTGCTGCAAAGGCATATTGTATGTATGGCACCACCCCATCCTCCCATCATGTACCAATGCATATGTGTACATATATAAATACATAGTATGTATATATATATATACTGCTCACGCAAACCAAGTATTATCCAACTCTCTTTGACCTTGCATGTTCAGCATAACCCCAAAGCCTCTAAAGCCGCTCTTACAACGAGCAGGCTGGCCACTTTTGAGCAATTCTCACTTCGTTCGCTAAAAACAACTTTAGCCTACCCTAGCGGCTAGCTTTTGCAACAATCCAGAATCCGATGCGAGGTCCTTCGCGATCGGAATCTATCATCCGTTTAGCCATCCTTCAAACATGTCAGGAACCAGAACCATAGAACCTTCATCTCTAAACATTGAGGAACTGACAATTGAGATTCAAGTTTCTCGGACTCCTAGCCAAAGTCAGAGGGAGAAGACTTTGAGCACTATTTTACCCACTATGCCTCCGGCAAAGGTATGCTCACCATCCAAGAACTTTGCAAACTCTTTCCACATGGACCTCGGTACAGCACGCACAAAAGTATAATATACAAACATTTGCTGTTCTCCAAGTCCGAGTGAAAAACTCATCATAGGGATCCTGGGAAGAGTCAATGTCAATCCAGCCTGCCGCTACGTTCGAAGCACAAAGCGCTCGCAGGTTCAACTCTTCTAAGATTGTCCCCTTTGCACAGCGGGCCTTTGAACCAAGTGGGTGCCTTGTGGAAGTAGATGGTAGTCTGCAAGCGAGACTTGCTTTCAACACGCGTCAATACCATCAATACCATCCCAGCCAACAAAGAACAACAAGAGTTCGGATGGACCAAAAGTCTTAAGGGTTGCGGTGTGGGGGAGTCAATGCCAAGATTGACTGGGCAAGAGGTCCCATAAATTTATGAGAAACCCCGTAACTTGCGACTATGCAGGATCTTGGATTGCTGGAGGTCTGCTTGTTGGAGTATGTTGGGTTGACTCCCTTGCTTGTCTATTTAGGCTGCTTGTCTTGCGTACTTGCAGTTGGTCAGCTGGTTGTGTCAGCTGTCGGTTAGTTCTCTCGTTTGCTTGTTGGGCCAGGGTTGGTCGCATTGTTTGATTTGACTCCTCGGTTGACTTGCTTGGCTTGTTACTTGCTTGCGTGGTTCAGTGGACCATGGGGCTTGAATTGGCTTGCAGTAGGACATCGGACAAGGAATGGCAAGACTATATTATATCTCGCAACACCTTCTTGCCCATGGAGTTTTGTTAAGCAGCTTAAGTTGCAAAAAAAACTACCCTTAGCGACAAGACCACCAACAAAAATGTCTCATTGCAACGTGTCTAGCAAGTAGTCCTTGCCTCCTCACCACACTTTGGGTTCTGAACCTGCACAACCCACGGATTGTGTGTGTTGTAGTCTCGATCGCTCGTGGCTGATGTCATGAATACGAATGCAACATGCTGTGTACTGCATTGCTTCGTTGTATCACATTGCGCGTGATTAGCAATCTTGTCAGGTCTTGGGCTCGTGTGGATCACTGCCTCGAAGAGGTCGGGGTGCTGAGTGTACAAGTCTTCAAACGATTTCACTATGACATCCGGGACTGACCTGGCAAAATATGTGCAAAAGTCTTGAAAAATTATCCGCCAACCCCAGCCGGGGGGAGCGCACAAGAGGACACTGCACGAGAAATCGGTCATACACAGACAGACAAACAGACAGACAAACAGACAGACCGACAGATTGACAGACCGAGAGACCGACAGACAGACAAACAAACAGACGAACAGACCTGTGAAAAGGGTATGTCGGGAGATTAAGACAGGGTCTCAAAACAAGGTCGAGAGAATGAGTTGTATTGTCGGCAGAAAGTGGCCGACCGGTTTTGGTGGCTATTTATTGCCCACTTTTGGTGTGAAATTAGATTGGGTAATAGCGTGGCGGGTGAAAGGATACGTCAGCTTGCAAACAATCAGAAAGCAGTGTTTTGCGAGGACCTACGATGGCGGGCGGTCTGCGGACAATTACTCTCGGCTTTATGGGTTCGTCGGTGCTTTTACATATATATGAGGGATAGATAGATGACACCTTGACTTCTGGAGTCGGACGGTGTCTCGTTCATTTCGGTCCAGTCAGGTTTCACGAGAGTGAGCCAATCCCACCCCCTTTCGCTGGGAGTCCTCCCTGCATGTCTTCAGGACTGTTCAGGTTATCTGGGAATCAGGAGGCGGAATCGGTCCATCACGCTGGGCGGTTGGGTGGACGTGCACTTGCACTGATACCGTTCGTGGGGTTTTCGGGCTGGCGCGGTTTCGGGGCTAGTGTGGTCCAGCAACCTCAGTTTTCGGTGTATTTGTGACCCAAAGGTACCTGCGCTGCACATCTCGACATCTGCGACGTTTCAGGAGGACTACCTTTTGTTGAGGCTACTTCGGGACTTCAGGTGTCGTTAGTGAGCAGCAACCCACAGGTTGCAGGCTACGGCTTCAGTGGGCTTGCCAACGAAGGCTCTGACCTTTTCAGTCTCGCTGTAACGGGGGTGGCATCGGATTCATGTTTCATAATACATATACACAGTGTTCGTTCTCACTTCTGGTTATCTAAAATCTCTGGTCATCACTCTCCTGTCCTCGCCTTTTTTGATCGATGTGAGGTGTTCTTGAAGTGGGGCCCTCCAGGTTGCAGAGGCCTATCGGGGCCCTGCACAGGTGATCAAAGTACCGAATTGTAGTCTGTGTTCGTTCGGTTTCTCGGTACTCCGTTTGTGTCTTATTCAAATCTCTCAACAGGTTTTGTATCGGCCATGGCCCTCGCCACTCTGATCGAAGCCTGGCTTAAGAGTTCCCACACCGCCGGTTCGCGCCGTCAATACACACAAAAAATAGCATAGTTAGTTCCGCAGGTCTTCGGAAATCACGCCGTGCGTGGTCGACGCGTGCATGGCACGGTGGTTCTCTCATGGTGGTCTCCTGCATGGGGTTGTGGCTACATTCGTCGCGATCTTCATCATCATCATCATGATCATCATCTAGCAACGGTTTGCACTACGCGGAGGCTGTCTCGGCTCATTTTTGGCGTGGAGTTAGAACAACTCAATAGCATGGCAAAGCTCGGGGAGAGGGTGGTGTAGAAACAAATACATTGTAGTGGCTTCTGTCCGGTAGCATGTTTTGCATGGCACACACTTATGGATATGCCTACGGAACTGACAGCAGTGCCACACGCCGGCCTAGGGTACCATTTCCTAAGAGTACAAGTAAGGACCACTGGGGCCTCGGGGTCTTCAAACGGAGAAAATGCCAAAGGCTCAAATCGAGAACGAACCGACAAATGACGGCGTATCGTGCATGACTGCCGAACTCATTAGACCTTTACGAAATTTTAAAAATTGTGCAGGTACACAAGAAGGCGTCCCTTCTCGCTTCACCAGTTGTGAGTCCGTCTTCGTTGGTCCAGGGACAACTCACAACTGCCTGGACCCCCTGCGGGAAAGGAAGAAAATTCAGCAAAAAATCCAACTGGATCCCTGTGATTACGAGGGGCACACACACACACTCGAGATATTGCGTACGGAACTGAACGCCTCACGCCACACGCCCACCTAGGTATGACCGCCTCAGCGTTCAGGTAAGTTGATACCTCCACGAAACCTCCAAGGCCCACGAAAAGCGGAATCGCGACAGAATGACGACGGTCCGTGCAAGTCTGCAGAACTCATTAGCACTTTACAGCACCTGAAAACCTAGAAACAGCCTGAGCGAGGGAGGACCATTGGAGTCAGTGTGTTCAGAGCAGGTACGTTGGTGAGCGTCCCCACCGATATCAGTGTTCAATGCAAGCCTCTTCGTTGGGCTGGTACTTGCATGAACAACCAGCCCCCCTGCTGAAAACAAAAGAAAAATTCAACGGAATCCCTATGAGTCCAAGGGGTACACACACCCACGCGCGTGCGGCAATTCACTTCGACGAACCAGGAGCGGCAATGGCAGGGTTTGCCCTTAGGCTGCGTGGTTAATGCGAACTTGACCTGTCGGCGTGGTCGAGAACACAATGGTGCCACAGCTCGGACATGTATGGCAGACAATACCCTTCAAGACGCGGAATTGGTGGCCGCAGGCGGAACGATGGTTGATTTGGCCCAGTGTGGATGAAACTGCGAATTTCTTGGGAGCAGAAGGGGCAAAGGTATTGTATTGGTATGTATCAGTATCTGCCGCTGGGACATGGGCTGGTGCAGTGTCTCGGGCAGGCGGGGTCGTCGAATGTGTCGCACACAGTGTCTCCCACAATTGCCTTTGCAAACATTTGCTGCGTTACATCTAAATCTTATCATGTACTCAAAACACACAACTTCTCTGGATGGAATCCCTGTCGCCCCTACCCCCAACCCCCTCGTGAGCTGAAAGGTCAGCGGCAGGGCGGCAGCCCTTAAACTTGCCAAAGGTGACTGAGTCTCAAAAGAACCGCGAGGGAGACCTTTCTTTCAAACGGCCCTTGATGTAGTTTGCCATAGGTTTGATGCGATCCTCAAACACTGCAAAGATTAACTGCTCTGCAAAACCTGCTCTGCAAGAGAATGAAGGTACTGTATGATAGACAAGTATCAAGAATATTAAAGAATCCTCGAGTTCGGAGAAATTGTCAGCTCTGTCTGTGTTTGTCCCATTCCCGCATTTGCCATCCAAAGTCCTCGTAGAGTGATTCCAAGGTGGAGATTAGCATTTGGCGCAAGCCATCAGTTCCGAGGCTCCTGGCAGGAGGCAGCTGAAGCTGCATGTAAGTCTACCTCATCTGTCAAGCATTGGTGTAGCCACAATATGCAGCTCGACAAGCTGGCGGTTAAGCTGGCAAATATGAGGCCAAACCGGGACTTTGGTTCGCTCCCAAGCATGAACTAAGACTACCATCGTTTGAAGGTCAGAGCCGTACAGAACGGGGGCTGCACAAGTAAGAAAACAGAACAGCATGTTGGGAAGCCTTCTCACACCAGAACATCAAACACATTCAACACAGCAAAGCAGCGCCGACACAACAAGGCACGAAAATGTACCGATACACTAAGTCTACCGAACTGCACCAATAACTATTTTGTGGTGTTCTCCATAATGCCATTGTGTCGTGAGGTACTGCGTCTCCCCAATTGCGATGGCCTCCATCCTAGAAGCAACGGCCTCCAACCTATATAAATGGGATAGCCTTCAACCTAATAGCGATGGCCTCCATCCTAGAAGCAACGGCCTCCAACCTATATTGGGATAGACTTCAACCTAATAGCGATGGCCTCCATCCTAGCAGCAATGGCCTCCAACCTAAATGCGAT